CTGCGGCTTCGAAATAGTGAGGTACATAGAAGACTTGGGCTAAGACTCATTAATGTTGACTGTCATACTGATTGCTACGTTTAGGGTACAAGTACAAGTTTGTTGCACGTTTTTCTGTGGAAGGACGACTTGCATTGCTGTGACTAATTCCTGATGAGAAACACATTGGGTCTTAATGCAGTTCTCTTATATAGTAAAATAATGATTGTTATTTTATTTTATTTTAAATTTATGTTAAATTAATTATTATCATTTTATATTTAATTTTCTTATTATTTATATATTTTAATTAAACATTTTATCAAAAAATAATTTTTTTTAAAATATAAGTAAATACATAAATTATCTATAAATACTTATAATTTTAAAAAAAATCAAACAATAAAAATTATTTTAGGATAGAAACAATGGGAAGATTCAATAAGATAATTCCATAAAAAAAGATTGGCTAAGGTAATATCGATCATTTATCCTTGTGACATTAGTGTTTGCCTTGAACAAAGTGTTGATACATATGGGCCAAGGTGGTGCACCATAGGAGGAAAATATGAAACAATTGCCAACAAGGTTCAGGAACCTCGGCCAAGGTTTCGGAATCTCAGTTGGAAGTCCGTGTTTGTTCAAGACACCACGGTGTCCATACCTTAAGGTAAAGTGTCTAACACCTCGACAAAAAATTGGCAATTTGTACACTTTCCTTTGTTTCTTAATTTCGAATTTTAGTCATATTTAGAATTTTAATTGAAGAGATACTTAATCAAATATTCAAAGAATCTTAAAGATCATGCAACAAATATGAAAAGTCCTATTAAGACTTGAATTTGTACTCCTAACAAGAATCAAATTCCACTTGACCCTATTATAAACAAGCTAACCATAAAATTGTGTGAGAAAGATTTGCTATAGGCTAGAGAAACACCTTGGGTGAGTGAGAGCTTTCTTGTAATTGAGGTGATAAAATTCTTGTGAGATGAAGAGAGAGTTCTTTGAGAGATTAGGAAAATTTGAAGGAGATTGAAAGGGAGTTTCTAATATTGTAACTCTTTTTAATAATAGATTATTTTCTCTCCATGGTTTTTCCCCTTTACGGTTTTTCACATTAAATTCTTATATTTTTATGTTAATTTTACATTTTCACTTGAGTAAGAAATTTTATTTGTGATAGAATTCCCAATAGAGTAAACATGAGTTTTAACAGAGTCCCAATATGTTTTCTTTATCATTGTAGGGGACTGACTCAATTTGCCCCTTAAATCGTGTGTGGATCCTCGTCAAAAGTGTGAGTTTTATTGCTAAGGTTATCAATGATTTTGCTAAGGTTATCAATGATTTTGCTAAGATTATCAATTTTTTAACTGTAATTTTATTAGTATATAGTTTTTTCTTAAATAATTAGTTATGATATTTAGAAATATTTATTTATAAATTAATTTTAATATATTAAATAATAAATATTAATTATTTTATTAATTATTATTTATTTTTAACAGTTATATTAAAAGAAAATTTTGACAATTTTTGTAATCTTAACAAAATTACCATAACCTATTTTTTCTTTAATATCAAGACAATTAAAAGTACAAGGTGACGAAATGAGACTTAATTATGTCACATTTAATTGGTTGATTAATAGAAATGAATGCATTAAATTACAATTCTACCCCTATTTATATTTTTGCCTAATCCCTCTTTCTCTCTTCATTTTCCTTCTTCCCTTCTCCCTATTCTTCCTCCTTCTCTGTCACTGATGCTTTCTTCCAACTTTCTACATCATTGGCGCTCTAATCCTTCCTTCTCCATTTTTGCTTTCATTCCCTTTCCTCTCTTCTTTCCTTTTTGGGCTTCATTAAAAACTTAAATCTTTAAATTTTTCTTATGTTTAGGGTTACTTAAGAACACTTGTGCAGTTTGTTCTTATGAAACCCATGTTTCTAGGTTCATCTCGAGTTTGGATTTCCTTTAGACTTTTGTGATCTTAATGCATAGGGAACCCATGTTTTTAGGTCCATTTCCTGTCCTTGTGTTGTTGTTGTGTTAAAATGATTCAGATCAAAACCCATCATTGGCCCAACAATACTTTGAGTTAAGGTCTATTGGCCTTCAAAAATTCAAATTTAAGTTGTTAGGAGTGATTGGTCTCACACTTATATATCATAATTGTGCTCTTCTTCCAATGTGGGATTAGGACATTACAACCTCCTCCACCACCATTATCCATTCCAAGTCTTCATTGGACAAAAGGTAAGATCTCCCGATATGGCTTCACACCTGTAAAGGAAAATTGTTCGGATATTAACTAAAACAACCTGGGTTAAAGCCTACCACTAGCCTAAAACCTCTTTAGAGAAATCGTATGTTAAAGCCCAAGCTCAAGGTGCAGATTGACATGAATTATGGTTACAACTAAAGGCTGGGCACTTAAAACGCTTGCAAAAAGTTGCCACCATTGTTATGGTAGGCAACATGTGCTGTCATAGTGTGCCTTGGTACTTGTGTGCTCTAGGCATTAGCCAACAGGCTCCTCATTCGACTTGACTTGAAACACAAACAAAAGAGTCAAACATATGTGCAAGTTAATGAGTTGAGAAACCTATAAGGCACAAAGAAGCTCATTAGTAAGATCCCTTGGGGATGCATGATGCACTAAAATCACCCTAGCACGTGTACTAGTCGCCCCAAGTAATATAATGATGAGAGAGTGTCGAACCCACGAGTATTGTATCTAACTAAGTACCAAAATAATTAATCTAAATTTATTTAAACAATCAAAAAGGAAGAAACTTTAATTAAAAATAATAAAAAGAAAATAACAAATAAACCTAACCAAGATAAGAGGTGCTAAGGCATTGACTTCACCATAATCAATCAATATAAATTTTGGATTATCAAATTGTTGAGTGTTATTGCATGTGATGGTGAATTTCCCTAAATTAATTAACTAGCTTTCTCAAGTCAAGTTAATCCTTCACTTGTTTGTTAAATTAATCATATATCTATGTAATTTTAAACAAACTTATGAGCATTAAATTCTATGGAAACCTCTAGCTTAAGAAGGGGGAGCTCCTAACTCTATTCTCTTCCTCCACTACCACATGTGAGCTAATTACCTATCAGTCTCATAGTCTAGCACACGGTTTATATTATTATTGGTCTAATCTACGCAATTCTTTCTCAAGTTTATGCATAAATCACTAAATCAATTAAAAGATGATCAGACTTCCAATGCATTAAGTTCAATAATATAAATTCCTCATGCGAATAACTTTAATTGAAGGCATAAAATCACAAAATTTATATTGAATTGATTAGAGTATATCATAAATTTAATAAAATAAATTAGTTCATAATAAAAATAATAAAATCTGAAATCACAGTTATGAACATAAGAATGTCTAAGGAAAAATAAAACCTAATTTGAGATAATTGAAATCCTCAAAGCTTAATTTGTGATAATTGAAATCCTTGATCTTCTCGTTGATGGATCCTCTATCTTGACCTCCAAGAGTGCCCAAAAGAGGGTTGCCACCAAACTCCACAAAACTCTTTTAATTCTGAATTTGGATGGGTATTTATAGGATTTTAGAAACTCTAATTAAAATAGAAGTAGGACTTGGAACAAAAAAAGGAAACTACATTTTGGATGCTGATCGTGTGGTGCGATACTTCGGATTACGTGTTGACACAATAGGAAACAGAATTTGATTCTGGACGTTTAACGCATGGTGTCGACACTCCGATCATGTGTCGACACTACACCCGTCTTGGGTTTCTGCTCTCCTTTTGCAATTTGTTCAATGGTAAAATAGCAGATTTGATTCCTGACTTCTGGATTCTGCACAAGTTGATCCTCAAGTCTCTGATCTTTTCAATTTACCTCTAAAAAGTAGGATTTTTTTTCAATTAAATCATTTTCTACACAAAGAATAAAAATCATGTAAAATCAAACAAAATCTCATAAAACTCATCCAAATATCAATAATATCAAAGTAAAAATTCCCTATTAATATATATATAAATTTAGCTCATCAAATTCCCCCAAACTTAAGTTTTACTTGTCCTCAAGTAAAAAAAAATAAAAAAGAACAAAAAGAACAAAAATAAAATCTAACTCATTTTCATAGGAATCACGATTGCACTTAGCATGTGCAACAAGCCTTTAAACCCCTAGGTTACCCTAGTGGACGAGTTGTGTCTCATGAGGGTTTGAAGCGGATCTACCCACAAAATCCCAATGCAAAAAATGCAACTATATGATATGTATGCAAAGAAAATTTAGGAATTAAAGTTCAATTAGAAGCAAAGTCTCAAATATTCAAAAGTTCTCATATGATCACTTAAAGTAAAATACTCCATCTTATTCTTCACACCACTTGTTAAAAGATTTAACCCATGAGCACTTAGTGTGTATGTGGAAATTCATAGTAAGAAGTCTCAAGTTTAGACCTTCATACCTTAGCACTTATTATTATTATTTTTTCTTCTCTTTTTTTTTTTTATTCATAGGTCGAGTTTCCTTAGGCTTTCTAAGTTACCCATGTAACGAGTTTTTTGTCAATGACTCCCAAACTAGTTGGCTTCAGGGCATTAGGTGAAGAGACACTCCTAAGAACATACTTACTCAAGTAACAAAGGCCAAGAAACATT